ATATATGAAAGATCTTTACTAGACCGATTAAAAACCAAGTGCTTTCACCTAGACTTATATCAAATAGATGATATAATTAGCATTGTAGATCAAGCATACAGTGATTATAATTTTAGTCATAAACCACCTTCTGTAGAAATAAAATCTCTCAATAATAAACAAAAGAAATGAGCTGAATTTATTCTTATACGATGGTAAGTATTTAAAGAGTTTAAGCTTAACCATGGTTTATTAATCTTATTAAGATTTCATTTTTTAGGATAAGGCAATGGATTAATCCATTTGATAATATGCTTGAGTCTGATTTAGTTTTAAATTATATATTCATCTCTTTGGAAATTGTTCTGAATAAGTTCTTATTTGGCAAATTTCATTTACATGAGTAATTAAATTTTTTTTAAAAATATTGTTAAATATAATAATATATAAATTTTTATTTATAAATCTAATATATTAGTCCAGAACATCCAACTCAATATTCTTATGAGCGAAAAAAACTATATCATTGTCCTCCTTTTACAGAATGGCCAAAGAATCTGAAGGAAGCAGTAAATTTATTTGAGAAGCCTGAAGATGAACATTTTGATGCTAACGATTTTGTTCTAGAAACAGTAGTTATTATTCAGAATAATGGGAATGATCTTATCTATATTCTAAATGATAAACACAAATTATTATCTTTTGATACGGCCAATGAACAAGGTGTCACACTTTTTCGTATGTATAGCCGAAAAGTTGACACAGCTATAACATACTCTCCAGAGACTAGTATAAAATTATACCTCCTAATATGTAAAGCAAAACGTCTAAACAAACATCAAGGCGGTGATTACAATAAACTATGCAGAATGCTTAATGATGCTGCAAATAGCTTTATTTTATACTAGGCCAAAAAATGTAAAAAGGTTACTAAAGAATTAAAGAAATTGTTTTGTAAGTTTCGATGGATTGGGCTATTTTCATCTGGTATGTAACTCAGTAAATTTGTTTTAGTTGAATGTATTATAATATCATTATTAATTTTAGATGGAAAGCTTAATTTAATGATATACCAAATATGTGAAGAAACCAAGATT